ACTTTCATTATGATTTGAGTATGTCCCACCAAATACTCATATGTTTGGAACTTAGTTTCAAAGGGAGAGTTGGAAAATAGTGGAATGTTTAAGAAGTGAGATCTAGTAAATTGTGGTTAGATCATTGGGGGAGATGCTCTTGGAAAGGGCTAATGTAACTTCCATGGGGCACAACATAGTTCTTATTAAAACCGGTTGTTACAAAAGAGCAAGTCTTTTTTTTTCTGAATTCCTCCAACTTCCTGTCTCATTATGTTCTCTCTACCTCTCAAATCAGCCCTCACCATAATGCCACATCATGTGTAATGCAGGTGAAGGAGCTGTCACAGGAGCTGAGAAGATTCTGATACAGTGCACTTAAATCTTAAGAACTATGAACTCAAAAATATTTGTATTTATTTGTAAGTTGTAGTTGGACACAATACCTTTATTTTATTTAATTATTCATTTTTATGTGGTGCTGAGAATTGAACGCGCTTCTTTCATGTGACAGGTGAGCACTCTACTACTGAGCCACAATTCCAGGCTCTCAGAAAATATTTGTATGCATTTATATCTCTTTTTATACACTGACCTGTTTCTGGTATTTTTCTATAACATTATAAAACAGATTAAAACCACCTCTGTGTCTTATTTCTAAAAAAGACAGGTGAGACTTTGCAATATATTATCAAAAAAATCTGTAAAAGCTTTAGAATGAAAACTATTATGCATGCACTGAGTGACCTTTAGTGAGTGATTAAATATCTTTGATTTGAAGCCATCTTACTATGAGAGTGAGTAAAACATCTAAGCTTACATTTTAAAAGCTCTGGTATAATTTAGATGGTAATGGCTTAGCATTTCTGATTCTTATTTGTTTTTATATTTCAAAGATGATATCTTGTATTTCTTATATTCCTCATGGTGCTTAGGTTAGTGTATTCCTATTTACTTTGGGACTCAAATATGTAAAATTTATTTTGTTTAGTAAAGCAAAAGCAAGTGTGGTTCCTTAGAATATAGCAAGACTTCATGAGAATGTTTTTATTTTTAATGGGAAGAATTGTCTCATTGCTAATGATTATAGAGGGAATTTACATCTTGACGAAACCCATTAATCAGAAATTGTCTGAACTGACTAGATCAAAACCATTAGAAAACCATGAATAAAGAGGCAGATTAAAAAATATATATCGGTTTTTCTAGCACCATTTTGAGTCTCCTATTAGAGTACAAATCATAGTATTTTTTACCAGTGAAAGGACTCAAACACATTTTAAGCCTCCTGTAATCACACAGGTCACCATCAATCATAATACCATTGTAAGAAAATGTAGATCTTCACAGGCAGAAAAATCAAATACTAAAAGTTCAATTTGCCTTATACAAAAAAAAATACCTAATTATTTATGTCATACTTCTTTTAGCTCCCAGGTAAAATATCTTTGAGCTCAAGATATTCAACCAGAAGAAAGTGGAATTGTTTTCTGCTAGATGAGTTAAGAACTGATATAATTAGAATGTAGAGTAAGCATATTTTGACTTGGGGTTCAGTTGTTTCAAGTATAATGGCTTGCAGGAAAGCAATGCAGGAGATTTTGTCCTCCACTTCACCCAAATTGTATGGGAAAATCATTATTTTTTTTTTTAATTAAAAGTGGAAGCCACAGGCCATCTACAGCAGGTAATGAAATGTCATGATGAGACATCAAATTGCAGTTGCTTTTCTCATGTTTTTGTATCATTGATTGCTGTGGAATTTGAATATTTGAAATATAAAAACTATATTTAAAATAAACATTAATATTCTTTTGTATTTTAAGGTAATTTTAAAGCTCATGGCCTAAGGTCATAATACACAGTATAATTATCTCATATTTTTCTAATGTAATCCCAAGTCAAAGGAGTTGGGATATATTTTTCATGAAAAAAATATTTTTACTAAGTAAAATTATGTTGTTCCATGTATCATACTTTTCTATGTAGTATATGTTTGGCCTTAAAATTAATAGAAGTGAATGCCTTCATGGGGCTGCCAAAAGGTTTATATTATCTTGTCCTGGAGAATATTGTGGCAGAGTATATGGAGGATGAACCAGAAGATTTCTGAAATTGTGCATTTTTGTGGCTGGAAACTGTTGAAAGGTACATCATTGTTATTAATGAAAGAGACTGACTTAAAAACAGCAACGTTCTTTAAACGTATATGGGTAAACAAATTCTTTGTTAAGCAAAAATGCCCTGTGCAGCCAGGGATGGCTGAAATACATTATACTTAGACTCTGGCAATCTCAGTTCTTTTTTTTTTTTAAACTCTAACTAGTAAATTTTTCTAGTTCAATAAATCTCTTTCTATTCCTGTTCTTGCTTTTAAAACCAGAGGAGCAATACTTGTCTTTTGTAACTTTCTGGATTGTTTCCCAATTTGACTGCATTAAAATCTGCAGAAAACTTTTGGAAAATATTACAAAGCATACAAATGGAAGTGAATAATCTTTGCTTACTGTGTGACTCTTTTCCTTTCAAATGCTATTGTAGCTCCAAGTCGGTAACTTATCTTTCTTCAATTACCATTAACTGATTATATGTCCAATTTTCCCCTAGCATTTGGAAACCACACTTCATTTACTATTGATCTCTTTACAAGTTTTTATTTCTATATTGCTGTGTGATGATCCAATTGATTTTTCATCTCATTTATTGTAGTTTCAGGTATAATTAAATTGGTATAAATATGTCTATATTGGAGAGTGTACAATGTCCCCAGATCTTGTTCTTAGGCATATGTTGCTGTAAACTCAGTTCGTCATGAATTATATGTAATGTTAATAAATTATGAATAATATTCAATATTATTTTTGTATGGATTGTGTGTATAAGCTTTTTATCCTATTGTAGCTGAAAAGGCAACATTTTATAAAAAAACTTAATCTTTACATACAAACTTCTCAGTTTACTTCTTACTTCTTGATCATCAGAAAATGAGACTATAAAACATAGCTCATTGATTATTTTGTTATAAGTATAAGGCCTCAATCAACACTGACTCCACATTCATTTCTCTAATACCTGCCCTGAAATAACACTATCTATAGAATAACAAGGATGTCCGAACTTACTAATGTAAATGAAAACACTGAACATTGACCTCATTCACAGAAAAATGAAATGTCTCCAATGAGGATGAAGTCTAGAAGGCCATTATGCACACCAGAAAGATAACGCTCTTCTCTCCTGTAAGAGCTACCTTTAAGGTTGTGGAAATTCAGTCTATTAAAATCACTAGGAAATGTTAAAAAGTTAAATTCCTAAAATTTATAAATCAAGATATGAAAATTTGGGGCTTATTTTCCTATATCTATATCCTTCTTATAACTCTTAATTTCACTATAAATACAAACAGAAAAAAATTATGATCTCACTTATGCAAATTGTATTCCACATTAAGTTTGATTAAAATGTGTAAAAGTATTAACAGATGCTAGAGTATTATTTACTCAACAGTATGTTTTACTGTTACATAGAACATTTGGTCAAGTGGAACACTATGATGTCTGTCATTTAACAGGATGCAATGCATGAGTGTTAACATATAAACAAATATTCAGTTTTAAAGATATATTGAATTCATAAGATAAATATAGGTAAAAAGAAAATCACTATAAACCTGGTGTGATGGTCCATGCTTCCAATCCAAGAAAATTGGGAAGCTAAGTAGTTTCAGAAGTTTAAATTCAGCCCCAGCAATGTAGTGTGGTTTTAAGCAGGTTAGCATGGCAGTCTCAAAATTTGAAAAAGTGGAGAGAGCGCTAGGAAATATGGCGCAGTGTATAAAAATACCTAAGCTTACACTGAAATACCAAAAATAAATAAATAAATAAATAAATAAATAAATAAATTTAAGTTTAAAATATTACACTTCAGTGTTAAATATCAAAAATAGATTTCATATAATTCTTTTCTCAGTATTCAAAATTGAAAATAGTAATTTTTGATTTAGGAAAACAATTATATTCCTTCAAAGATGAGGTTTCTTCACTATGCATGTATTATATTTATGACAGATATTTTTACAAAATAACTTAATGCTTAATAAATTTAAGCAAAAGTTGAAGGCTACTTGCTTTCTAAACAAATAAATTCTGTATGTTACTGATCCTCATGTACATCAACGTGTAACACATAGATAATAATTTTACTATACTATCACATTTATTATAAATGTTCCATTGTTATATAAGGCATATATTTTGGACAAAATCTGTTCAATATTCACTACCAGTATGAGTTTTCAGATGTTCAAAGAATTTAAAATTTAAATACATTTTGGAAATATTATTTAGCTTTTTAGGGTTTCTGGGCACAATTAACTCTCCAAAAATGAGCAGTGTTTAAGAAACATGTGGCTACAATTTATTTTTCATTTGAATTTTCTCTAACCAGTATGTATCCACAGGTGCTGAGTATTGGTGAAGAAATTTTAGAGGCATTGTCACATTGTCAATTTTCACATTTCAAAACTTTTTCTATGCTATGATTATTGTGGTGAGGATTTAAGTGTTGTTCGTTTCTAAGAGTAATGCTACAATGGTCTCATTTGTAGAGCTTCTCTCCAGTGTGTTTTCTCTGATTTCTAGTAATATATGATATGTAATTTAAAATGTTTCTACATTCTCTACATTTATATATCTTCTTTCCAGAATAAGTAGCCTAGTGGTGAAAAGAATTAATTTCTTATTAAAAGCTTTGCTGCATTGTTTCAATTTGTAGGGGTTCTTTTTTGTATAAATTCTGTTGTTAATAAGGTTTAGTCTTTCTTTTTAAATGTTTATTTTTTAGTTGTAGTTGGACACAATACCTTTATTTCACTTATTTGTATTTCTGTGGTGCTAAGGATCGAACCCAGGATCTCACACATGCGAGGCTAGCACTCTACTACTGAACCAAACTCAAGCCCTAAGGTTTAGTATTTCTTTAAAAGTATTATCACTTTATTTACATTTGAAATTCACCAGATGTTTTCTGCTGTGGTGAATAAACTTTTATTTTTTATTAAATGCTTTTCCACATTATTCACATTTGTAGGGCTATTCATCAGTGTGAGTGCTGTTGTGGTGAATAAGGACTATTTTATTGCTAAAAGCTTTGCCACATTCCTCATATTTGTGAGGCTTCTCTCCAGTGTAAATGCTCCTGTGGCAAATAATGTGTAAAATTTGAGTAAAAACTTTGTCGCATACATTGCATTTGTGAGGCTTCTCTCCAGTGTGAGTTCTGTTGTGGCAAATAAGGTATGATTTTTGACTGAACAATTTGCCACATTTTTTACATTTGTAGGGCTTCTCTTCAGTGAGTTCTGCTGTGGTTAATAAGGTCTATTTTTTGACCAAAAGCTTTGCCACATTCCTTACACTGGTAGGGCTTCTCTCCACAGTGGATTCTGCTGTGGCGAGTAAGGTTTGATTTGTCACCAAAAGCTTTGCTACATTCTGTACATTTGTAGGGCTTCACTCCACTGTGAGTTCTTCTATGTTTAATAAATTCTGGTTTTCGACCAAACACTTTGCCACATTCTGTACATTTGTAGGGCTTCTCTCCACTGTGAGTTCTTCTGTGGTTAATAAGTTCTGATTTTTGACCAAACTCTTTGCTGCAATCTTTACATTTGTAGGGCTTCTCTCCAGTGTGAGTTCTGCTGTGATAAATAAGGTTTGATTTTTGACCAAAAGCTTTACCACAATCTTTACA